AGGTGCAGACATTGCAACATCTTAACATTAACCTCAAAGTTGCCACTGTCAGTACTTGGTGAGGTCTCCATAATAGCACCACATGCAGGGTAGCAAGCATTTGATAACAGCAGCATTGGGTTGCATTAAATAGGGTGTTTTGCATTGATGACTTGCACACATGCTTCCTTAGCTAGCACATGGTTTTCTTTGGGGAATCTGACTAGAGCTGTGCCAGATCTCCAGATCCATTTTGCAAATATTCAATAGATTTTTAAAGGTTGGAACGTCTGGCTTCTTATAGAGAAGGTTGAGGGAATTTGCCCATTGATTCCCTCAGTCAGCCCTATAATATGTGGTTGAATTATAGCATATCCTGTGTCTTTGTTCAGACCCTGCAGCTTTGTTTTACTGGAACAATGACTCTCAGAACTCACCTCGCTGAGCTCCATGGGTTTGTTGGAGGCAAGGATTTTGCAGGGTGGCTTCTTTAATTGGACCAACTGCAGAGTTCAGATAAAGTTAGAGAAGCTTTTGAATGCAAAGCCACTGTCTTCAGATTTGAAGAAAAATGCTTTGCATTCAATCACTTGCTTGACTTTCAGTGGGTCCAGTAAAAGATATCCCAAACAATCCTTGCCTCTTGCATAATCTGTGGACTGTCACAGCTATAACGTCACTCTAACACTACCACGGTACGGTGCTGTTGAAGGCGTGCGCACAGTCAGGAGTTTGCAACTTTGCAAACCAGGAACTTGGGCTGGGTTAGCTCAAAAGGTCTGTGGCTTTACCAGTTCTTTGTGATTTGAGAGTTGAGCTCATCATTAGACTATAAACTGTGCGGGCTTCCTGTAGCTTCAATTAAGTTGTTTCCTGTTCTTGCTGGACTTGACAGATGTCCTCAATAATTGCCATCTCCTTTTTCTCCTAGCACCAATTCCTGAAGATCGCAAAACCCCTTGCTAGTCTGACGCCCCTGATTACGGCAGCAAAGGAGGCAGCCAAGAACAGCCATTAGAACAAAATCCTTGTAGTCATCGTGCCAAGCCTGTTAGAAGTTCATTTCAAAGACTGAATATTTGCCCTCCTCCTTCTTCAGGATGCACAAGACTTTTTGGCCCCGTGAGAACGGCTGGCAGAAGTAGTATTTGTTGAATGTTAAAGGGATACTTGATGGGGACGTTGTTGATCTTAAGTAGCAAATCATCTTTCCTCCCTCTTGCTGGGAAAAGAATATTTTGTATTGACAGGTGTTCATGAAAACCTCTGAGCCTGACCTGACACGTAGCACAGCCAGTTTGTTTTCCTATTTCTTAATGTGTTTTATTTTGAAAAACTAATGTGGAGCCTTAGACCATGTTTATTTTAATAAATTAAAATCTCTCGCTGGCTGGACTTCCTTCGCCTCTACCAAGCTCTGTTGTTCCACTACTGAGACTCCTGCATGCTTTGGATTACTTGAAAGATGGAGCAGCCAGCAGAAACGGGAATAGCTGTAGTCATTGAAGGGGATGCCAGAGCATGCAACATCCAGATGCTGCTTCATCCTGCCGGACACACCTGGAAGAGAGCTGAAATAGTTTGATAAGGCTTCCTGCTGCCACTGGAAGATTTCAGTCATGGGTAGCTTGTGTGCCATGTCTTGTAAATCAGCTTCTCAATTACATTATCATCTTTCACTTCTCATCTCAGGTCCTGTAGACTCCAGTGCTCAGTGCTACCAGCTAATAGATTGTTTCTGAAACTAAACTTGCTGGCAAGCTACGGGAGACTGTGCCAAAGAATGGGGCAGAGCTGCTTTAAAATGACTTTATTTGTATAGCAAGGTTTGTTAGACAGAGCATTGCCCTAGGTTGTAAAACAGTAATACACTGGTTGCCATTATAAAGTCAACATTTGCCTGCAGTTACCACATGGTGTACTTGAGAAAGTATTGTTTGTAGGCCAAGGAGAAACAGCCTTATCTTGGAGGCTGCTGCCATTAAGTACCCATGAGGACAGTTTCTGAAGTGAGGGAGGGCCTTGTTTTCTTTAGCTGGAGGACTGACAGGGTGAAATCCTCTGGCTGCCACAGTTTGTAAAGTATCTGGTGACCTGGCTCTGCATCTGAGTGGAGATATCTGTGTCCTGGGCTACATTCAGCTGTACATTGGTTTTAATAAAATGATTGCTGCATTTCTTAATGTGGGAGATGTGAAGGGTTCACTTTGTTTGTCATCAGTAAGATCCTGTCAAGTTAGACTGTGGTATTTGCCATCAAGTGCCTGGATGTGATAGGTGAAGTGGTGCAAGCAAGGATTTCTTACACTCCATCCTATGGACCTGCTGGTGTGTTACAAAGTGGGTCATCAGGAATCAGCTGTTTTGGCTCCACAGCAGGTAAACTGGGAGTTGTATGCATGTGTGAAGGGAAAATACCTGTATTAAAACTGGGGGAGCTGTTTGCCTTGCTTTCCAGGGGCATTTGTACACGCCACGTTTTTTGCCCTTTCTTGTGCTGCAACAGCGTGACTGTTTGTATGAGTGGGTTTTCCAGATGCTTTAAAAGTCTTTCTGGTGCATTAAACTAAAATTCCTCGGACATAGTTTAGTTGGGCTTGCTGCGAATTAAAGCGTCGTGTCCATGGATTCATTGCATGCGAACACAAAGGCACTCAAAGATGTGTAATAAGCCTCTTGTTCCACCAGTTGGCGCTGTGACTTTTTTGTAGTTCACCCCTTCAAATTGCTGCCGCTTTCAAATTGCTTCCACTTTTTTTTTTTCTTGTGCCGTTTTCCGGCTCCCTGCTCCCATGGCTGCATGGCAGGCCATGGGGTGGTGGGGCAGCGTGGGACCATCCCGCTCTCCAGCACTGGCCCTGGACTTAATTTGTTCAGAAACCTAGTGCGTGAAAACACTGATGTGATGCTCCAAAATAAACAAGTTTACATGTTATAAACCTATTTAATTTAATGAGGATGAAACCCTATGACGTGTACAGGCACCACAGGCTGCTTCCTTGCTGCAGCTCTCTTCTGTGCGCTGGTGCGAGTTCCACTGACTTATGAAATTGCACGTTTTGGGGGTTGTATCAGGTTCCCGGTGAAGCAGCAACATCACGTGGCAGCTCAGTTCAGCTCCTGGGTGAAGCCAGTACTCTCTGATCCTTCCTCTTCTCTCTCTCTAATCTGATCTGATTGTCTACCCCTCTCCTTTCACCGTGACACATGATTGTCATCATCTGAAATAACCTGCAGGGCATGCAGGAGGCGACGGAGTGATTATGGTTTTGGTTTTCCTAAGTTGATGCCTTGCCTATTGGCTTGCATTTGAAAGAAACATGAGTGTTTTCTCCATGATGCTGCTTTGCAGTATCCCTTGTCCCTTGCAGGGTCTCAGTATCTAGTTGGAAGGAAATATCACGTGGGGTTTCCCAAGGGTCTGTGCTGGGTCCAGTACTGTTTAACATCTTCATTAATGATTTAGACAATGGGATTAAGTACATGTTTAGCAGATTTGCGGATGACACCAAGCTGAGTAGAGTTGCAGACGCTCCAGAGGTTAGCTCTAGGATCCAGAATGACCTGGATAAGTGGTCTGAAATGAATCGGATGAAATTCAGCAAAGACAAGTGTGAAGTCCTGCACTTGGGGTGGAATAACTTTATGCACAAATACAGACTAGGGAATGACTGACTAGGATGCAGTGCTGCAACCTGGGGGGTTACAATAGATGGTAAGCTGAATGTGAACCAAGAGTGTTTCCTTGTTGCAAATAAAAGGCAGGGGGGGAAGAAAAAAAGGTGTACAGGGTTGTATTAACAGGAGAGTCTCTTGGAAATCAAGGGCAGTGATTCTTCTGTGTTTGTCACTGGGGTCTCACCAGGAGGGTTGTGTCCAGTTTTGGGCACTGTACTTCAAGAAAGATGTGGACATGGACAGATTGGATGGAGTCCACTAGAGTGACAAAGATGATTAGAGGTCTGGGAAACATGGCTTATGAGGAAAGGCTGAAGGAACTAGGATTGTTTAGTCTGGAGGAGACGACTGAGGCAGGGATTTGATAACAGTCTTCAAATACATGAAGGGTGATTTACAGAGAAGATGGGGATGGGCTTTTCTCCATGGATGTAGGGAACAGGACAAGGAACAATGACCTTAAACTTCAGCAGAGGACATTTAGGTGGGTGCTTAGGAAGAACTTTCTGACTGAGGATGGTTAAACATTGGAAGAGGCTGCCTGGAGAAACTGAAGTCTCCATCCTTGGAAGTTTTCAAGGGCAGGTGAGAGACACCTAGCTAGGATGGCGTAGTCAGGGATTCATAGATTCATAGATGTTAGGGGCTGGAAGGGACTTGCAAGATCACCAGGTCCAGCCCCCATTGCACTAGGCAGGGATGATCCAGCCTTGAGCCAGGGGGCTGGACCAGGTGACTTAATGACTCCTACATTCCTATAATGCTGAAAATGTAAGCAGCTCCTTTGCCATTCTGGCTGCTCCAGCACCGGGACACGACTTGCTAACACTACAGTGTCTGTTGTGAATTGTGGCTTGTTAGGCAGACTCATCTGCTGGCAAACATCTAGCCCAACATTACCCCCCTCCGAGGTCAGCCTACTTCTGGGATGGACCAGAGGTGTTTCTAATGTCTAATGCTGTGATGGCCCGAGTCATAGTCCTCATTCCTGCCCCACAAATTGAAGCACAACATACTCATTGTTCAGAATCAGATTGTGATTTTCAAATCCAGTGATTAAAACTGCACAGTCGTTCACTTTTTTTTGCAATAGACCAGGCTTTTCCTGGTTGGCTGTATGACCAACCTTGGATTACGGGGTATGTTCCTTGGGTGAATAATAGCAAACCCGCCCCCACACCCTTAGGAAAAGTATGATTTGGTGATCAGGTACTGCACCCTCTGGCATTTGGAAGGAAACACTATAGCTTTTGCGTAATAAAGAGTCGATTTCTTTATCTTTTCCCAGGTGCTTTCTTCTTGGCATAGCAGGAAATGGATTCGGGGTTCAACTCGGTGGTGCTCAACCTCTGGCCTGTGAAGCTCCCCACAGGTCCAGAGATTCGGCGGCAGGAAGAACGGTGGCAGTGCTCAGGGTCACCCCGTAGCCAGATCCAGTGTGGAGGGCTGGGCCATGCACAAGATCAGGCCAGCACATGGATCACACCTGCAGACTGACCCTGCTTGCAGGATCCGGCCTGTGAACTGCCTCTGCACCTCTCTTCTAGCCCATAGGGTTAGACAGTTGAGCACCACTGCTGTAAATCATGGTAGCTCTGGCTTCTCATGAGTCCTACAGCTCTTAAATACTGGGGATCTGGATCTGTCCTATACAAGTGCTGAACCTTTTCAAGTCTGAGGCCAGGGGGCTGAGGAGACCCAGAGGACCTTGCTAAATCAGCCCACATGCAGGCTTGTGTGCTGGTAGCCAAGTTTCCCCTGACCGATGTAGAAAAAGATTATTTTTATCTATGGTGAACTATGCTTCAGACTCCCTGTTGCCTGCAGTCAGAAAAAAAATAGCACTTTTTGTCCCTTAGTGGATTTCTAACCCATGACAGTGCTTCACTCTTTTAATAGCCTCTTGGGAGAGATTGGCTTGAGGCTCGCTGAAAGGATGTTCAGTGTGTGCCATCTTCTCACAGGCCAAGTCTAATGACGATTTTGTGGCACCTGATCTGCTCACATGGGCCAGGCTGGTGCAGAACACGTGTCTTTCCAGCTCTGATTTTTAAGCTAACTGCCTTAGGTGTAAAGCAAGCAAGCTCTACTTGTGTCTGTCTCCAAGTAATATTGAAACTCCTGCTTCAGCTTTACTTTCAGGACGTGGGCAGATTTGTGTAGCAGCATATGTTTCCTCCCTTCCCCATTTGCTTCTCACCTCCTGTGTCCTGTTCTCAGAGTTTTCAGTACTTGCAGCTAGATTTGGATAAATGCCCATATCATTACTGCTTGGGTTTAATGGCCACTGATCTTCTTCTTGCTAGTGATGTTCTCCAAACTTCTGGGAAGTTCACTCCCCCCTCGCCCCCTTTGATTTGTTTTCTGAGAACATTAGCTCCTTATGTGCTTAAAACTATTAGACAAGTCCTTACATGAAAATTGGAAGATAAAAGCACATAATTTGATCGACCTTTGTTTGTTTCTTTTTACCTACTGTTTTTAAATTAAATGATTTCAACAATCCTTTTGTATCTTATGAGCTTACTGAGCAAGACTGCTTAAATGCAGCACTTAATTAGTTGACTGTTATTGACCATTTATATTTAATTGGCTCCTTTGTGTTAGCTGGTTAGAACACAAAATGCTCCGTTGGAATATATACCTTTTGGAAAGTCAGACTCTTTTCAGGCGTATCCATCCTATTAAGTCACATTAAAAATGATAAGAAAAGCTGCAAATCAGCAGCTTCCAAAAGCATTGAAAGAAACCAGGCTGATACCAATCTGAGTAGTTTGCCCCTGATCCCAAGCCCATCGGTTGGGAAGACTTCCGCTGGTCTCATTGGGTTTCCAAACTGGCACTTGCAGTATAAGAATAGAGAAGTTGATGTTGTTGCACCAAAAGTGAGCTTTTAGAGGCAGCTGATAATAACTTCTACAGTATTAATGTAAGTATCATACTAATAAGTATTCACTTCTCACTAAAAAAAGAATTATCCTAATGAGTCCGAAAGAGGGAGAGTTTATGTACCTTTAGAAAAAAGCTCTGTAATTGAGGAAGAGGTCAGGTGTGTAAGTGAAGAGCCAACTCTGTTCCAGCTTTGACAGCCCAGCTTCAGAAACTTGTGGCGTGTCTTAATTCATAGAACATCTCACCCTTCAGACCATAAATCTGTTCTATCATTTGCTGCTACCTCTTTGTGAGACAAGACATATCCCCTACTGGGGTGGAATATCCCTTTTAAATGAAGGATTCTTCCTGAGAAGACCTGGGTTTCCAGAGAGACATTTTAGGGCTGCTGGTTGTAGCCATGTTGGTCTAAGGATGTAGGCAGACAAGGTTCTTTGAGTCAATGTGGTATCTTTTGTTAGGCCAACTAAATAGTTGGAAAACATGTATTTTGCAAGCTTTTGGGTACAAACACCCTTCTTCACGTGGAGCAAGAGTCACTTCTCTTGCAAAAATGTCAAGTTATTTGACTTTTTCCAACTGATCTTGATGTAAGGAAGGCAGAGTTTGCGAGAAAA